AACTAATTTTAGGCTCCTATCTGTGAAAAATGGTTCTGGTGTTGGTGTGTCACAGTGCGGAGGCTGGATGGTTGACTCACAATGAGACTGAGCCCTGCAAACACTGAGGACATATGAAACAAACACACAGGTTGTGAATTCGTTACACACAAAGATTGAAACACACACACCAGCTGATCTGCCCTTCTTTGGTTGGTTGGTTTGAGCCATAGCAAGGTCCCTCTCCCGCCCCTTCAGGGGGGTCTCTCTCTCGCTGCAGAAACCACTTGTGCTTCACGTGATCCAACAGGATTAATTACACACACAATGGAGGCTGATGCCTCTGGTTTCTGCGCTCTGCGGGCTCCCTGGAGGTGACGATGGTGTACTTAATCTTCACTGGGAACAATGGAGATTGTCTTTATGTGTTCTTAAGGGGAAATGTACATACAGATGTGGGCTTGACTATGCTGCCATCTTGTGATTGCATCTGGACATTTGTGATATGCAAATAAGGAGAAAGATTCTGCAAATTTCTGTTCCCCTTAGCACTAATTTCCAATATTGCTTTGAAAATAATTAAAACATGACATGTTTTAGGCTATATAAACTAACCCTATATATAGTTGGACTTTTACTGTGGTTAAAAATATTATTTCTCCAAATATAGGGGAGACCGGGGAGAGTTGAAACACTTTTTTGCATTTGACTCTGTTACTCAGAGATGGTTCGAATTAGACAAACCAAATTTTAATACAGTAAACTTACATCTGTCTGTTAATAGTCAAAACTATTTATAGATGATTAAAGCATGTACATTCTTCACAATTTGTATTTAACAATGAAGTCAGATGTTGCAACTGACCCCGGCACCGGGGACAGTTGAAACCTTGTTTGGGGGTGGTGACAACATATCATTAATACAATATTTTTCACTGTAAAGAAAAGTTTTATTATTTTTTTAATAATATTATTACTTAATTCATAAAAACTGTAAGTTATAATGATATTACAGTGTTATTTATTTATTCTTTCTGATCAAATGACGAATATAGATTTGCCTTGATGAGTAGACCTTATATAAAGATGGCAAAGACTTTAATTGATATAAAATATAGTTGGCTTTTAGAGATAAGGATAATAAAACAATTTGGGAGGCTATTTTGTTTTGCCTATTGTCACTGTACACCTACATTATGCAAAATTTACAATGAAAAAAACTGGGATTTTAAAACCATTGTTGAAAACAACAACTGCAGAAAATACGTCTTAAACACTTATAAGTTTTAAACTACAAAATTGTCATGAATACCCAATACCCTTTTAAATTTAAACTTAATTTCAACATATTAATATAATCATTATGTGGTCTGTTTATATATGGATTTATCATATGGGGACAGTTGCAACAGCCCCCTGTCAGCCATGATAAAACCTCATATGTTAGCTAAATAAGCTGATCTTGATCCATGCTACACATATTAGTTAAAAGTCAACATATCACTTGTTTAAACCATGTAAGTTTGAGCTGGATCACAAAAACAGTGACAACAGCATAACAAAAATGAAGCTGGGCAAAAAAATATACTTTGGTACCTCAAAAACCTGGAGCAGTTTTTGAATCTGCTTACTTTTTCTTTGCAAGGTGGGGCATCTGAGCATGTACAGTGTGAGTGTCATCACTCTAGCTTGTTTCTGTTGGGAGAAAAAGGACGTGTTACAACCGTCCCTTGTTGCTTTTGTCCCCGGTCTCCCCTATTTCAAATTATTTTAGTGAAATGGAGAAAGAACTAGATTCTAAAAACTACCCGACATAAAAGTGTGTGAATTTCTTCACCCAGTTTGCTTTGCAGTGTCATCTGTTACTGTCAAGCATCCATTTTCTGTACACGCTCTCGCATGGGTCACTGGAGCCCATATCCAGCAGTCAAGGTGCAAGGGGCGGGGTACACCCTGGACAGGTCGTAAGTCCATCACAGAGCCACACATAGAGACAAACAACCATTCACTCACACCTAGGGACAATTTAGGGTTACCAATTAACCTAACAGTCATGTTTTTGGTCTGTGGGAGGAAGCCGGAGTGCCCGGAGAGAACCCACGCATGCATGGAGAGAACATGAAAACTCTACCCAGAAAGGTCCCTGGGCCGGGATTTGAACTGGTGACCTTCTTGCTGAAAGGCATCAGCTCTGCCAACTGAGCCACCCATCTGTTACCGTCATATGCCACATAATAGGTTAAATGGCATCCAGCTGTGAGAAATCCAAGTGTTAAATGATGTGAATGGATCTGTTGTGAAAGCCCCAGAATCAATGTCTCTGAGGAGTACCATCAAACAGGAGACAGCAGGAAGATTAAGGACCTCTCTACACAGTTTAGAGAAAAAAATGTTGAGTTGTACAGATTGATATTGAGGAATAATAAAAATTAAAAAAACCGGCCATCCTACAGAGCATCATTAAATAGAAGGATTGTACCACCACAGTAAACCTGCCAAGAGAGGGTTGCCCACCCAAGCTCTCAAACTGGTCTTTTGGTTGCTTCTTTTATTGGTGCCATTTTTTGCTCAAAGATAACCCTGACAGAGCTGAGCAGCTCTTCTGCTCTTCTTCTTTTGGGGCATCAAAGACAGCATGTGTGAAGCAAACCAAATGTTTCATCATGCTGAGAACACCATCCCCACAGTGAAGCATGGTGGCGGAAGTGTAATGGGCTGTTTCTTACTGGCAGAGACAAGAAAACTGGTCAGAGGGCAAAATTTATGAAGGAAACCTGTTTGAATTATCCAAATATTTAACACCGGGTGTTAGAATCTGGGTATTTTAGTTATTTTTCATCAGTTTTTGTGTTTTATATAAGGTTTTAGTTCTCATTTGGTCATTCTGTTTTTTTCTCTTGTTGCTCCAGTGTGTACTTTATTCATTTATTTTTACATCTTCAGTTTAGCTTCCCCAAGTTTAGATCCTGATCAGTTTTGTGTTCCCAGCCACTCACTATGTTCAGGCTTCCTTTGTGTAGATCTTGCTTCTCAGTTCAGCCACGCCCACTCACACCTGAGCAGCTGTTCCTTGTTTCCTCATTGGTCTGTTACCATTATAACTGCTCAGTCTGGGTCTGGAAGTTAGTGGCAAGATGCACATTTTACATGCCATCTTGTGTTCCTCAAAGTAAGTTTTAACCACCTTGTTGGATTTTGTTTAAATAAGTATGTTTTGTTTCACTGGAGCTCCTCGAGTATGTCTGCATTGTTGGGTCAGAAGTTCACATTTAACAGGAGCAGTTTTGCTATAAAAGAAAGGGCAAAAAATACCAGCAGTTAAATGTACTAGGCTTCATGGAGGTGTAAAAAACTTGCTATTGTTGCTGCAGAAGTTGACTTTAGAGGATTTTATACATTTTTTAAGAATAGTTCAAACAAGTTTCCATCCATTTAATATAATTAATCTAAAACATTTTTGTATAATTAAAATTTCCAGGTTGTAAGGCGACAAAATAAGATTACCAAAGGGAGTAAATAAATTCTGCAACCCACTGTATAAGATGCAAGTCGGGTATCCATCCAGCAAATTATCCTCACATCTGCTCACATGACTGAAGCAGTTAGAAAAGTGGTGCCTGATGAAAATATGAAAATCTGCCTCTCATAAAATGTCTGCCAGCCAGCTCTCTGTAAAACCAAATAAATCCAATCAATTTAATATGGAAAGTTAGCAATTAAATCTTTATTAGGTCTGCAAAGACTTACCAAAAAAGGGGTTAATATTAACAAAAACAAATTCATTTTCCAAGTCTGTAACCTTACAAAACCACAATGTATCACACTTTCATGGAGTTAAATACTCCAGCATCTCTTAACATTTGCATTATATCTTCTGTTTACACTTAAACAAACAAAAAACAGGGCAGCATCTTAAACAAACCTCACTCAAAAAAACTCTAAACCACACAGTTCCCTCTACATTTCCTGTGAACGCATAGCTATGAGTGTTTAACATTATTTCTCGAGTTAATACAAAATGTTGGCACAGTAGATAGTAACAGTAAAGCTACAGGCAAACGTCTTTGTAGGGTTTTTTTGTGTTGAGAACTTTGCTAAACTCAAAGAAAAAAGGATGTTTGCAGATGATGGAAAAAATAAAATCAGGTCAGAGGGTTCAGTGGAGCGGAAGGGTCGGCAGCTTTTGTGCAGTTTTTTTTTTTTAAGGCGCAGCCACTTTGTAAGGGCTCCCAGGGACGTTATCGTCACCCCATTTGACGATGACGGTATAACTGCCCTTGTCCTTGACCGTGTAGGTGACATTATAGAGCTTGTTGCCCATGTGCTTGACGTACACCTCCTCGCAGGGAGTTTGGGGACCGTGCACACCCACCATCAGCATGTTGGTACCTGGGTGGGGACGCAAGAAAAAAGATTGAATGATTGCAGCTTCTTTTCCGCTGCTAATTTTCAGTCTTTCTATTTATCAGCTCACCTGCTTTGCTGCAGTCAACAGTAAAAGTATTTTTCTGTGCGACCAAAGCCTTGGAAAGCCCGGCTCCACGGCAGACCACCTTGCTGGCATCAGATGTCAGTTTCGTCGAGGAGGTGGAGGAAGAGGAGCTGTATGCGCCACCAATTTTGGAGGACTTGGTAACAGTTTCCACCAAGACGGAGGAGGTCTCGTGGAGGCTGTGTCCACCTGACAGTCTTGGGCCTGCAGGACGGGAAGAAAGAAAAAAAAAAAACAAGCTTTTTCTAAAATTGTCGTGTCTCGGTCATTACATAACACACACAGTATTGACGAAAATGCGAGGAAAGCTGCTGAGTCCCCTTCGTCAGCACAAAAGTGCAAGCAAGTGGCACGGGCAATTAAACTTCAGTGGCTTTTAGGGAATTTTTTTATGTCACATAAAAAAACAAGACATTTGAATGCAACAACCAGACAGGAGATTTACTGCAGAGAAAAACAACAAATTATATAACATTTTTCTAAACTTTAACACATTCTTCAGAGGAACATTTGTTTCATAATGAAGACATTTGTCATTCACAGATCAGATGGAATGACTGTCAAACAGACCTGTGATTCTGGCTTTGAACGGGCTGCCCACAATGTGCTGTGGCCCGCCGTATTTGATGGTGATGAGATAGTTGCCGGGTGCCATCGGTGTGTAGGTGATCCTGTAGCCTTCCAAACACTCCCGGCAGTCCATCTTCACTTTGGATGGCCCGTCGATGTTGACTGACAGAGTGCCTGAGCCGGCGTTAGAGGTGTTCACCACAAACTCGGAGGGTACGCCTGAAAAAAACAACATTGAGGCAGATGATCTTAAAAACTGACCATTTGATGAATGTGGATCTTGATCAAAAGAAATGCGTATCTCCTGTTTAAAGACACATGCGCAGAGACACGGGCAATTACGCAATAACCCGCCTTTACTGGAGACATGTACTCTACATGTAATATCTACCTGTGGTTCCTCCCTGTAGTCCTGGACCATGTGCAGTGACCAAACCGGGGTCTCCAATCAGTCCTGGATCTCCCACTCGCACATTAAAGGGGCTTCCAGGAATGTGGCATCCGTTGAACTTGACATCGATGGAATGAACACCGTTCTCACGCGGAATGAAGCGGATGGCGCTCTTGTCTATAAAAAAGAAAAGACACAGGTGAGGGTCATATCAATTTGGGCTCATGCACTCGCTCTAACTGAGATCAAACTGGAGGCGTGGCACGTTACCACTGTCAAGCTCCGAAACGTAGCATTCCTCGGATGAGCCGGAGGGTCTGTGAACTTTGGCGTCGACCACACCTCGGGCACCGTTACGCTGCACCATGAAGGAGGCCTCCTGGCTCACTTTTAGGTCCTTCTCCTGGAAAACAATAAAAATCAAATTGTCAATTTTTCTGGACTATAAGTTATACTTTTATAGTTTGGCTAGTCCGGTGACTTACATACCCTGAAGCAACGTATTTCTGTATTTTTTTTCCCCTTCATGACACTTTTTTTACTTGTCCAGAATATAAGGTATATACGTATGTTCCCACACCTCTAAGGACATGTTAGGCTCGACTCATTCTTTCTAAACAAGAATAGATTGATCGGCTGGGTGTGAGAGGCAGAAAAGGTCAGAGTTCACAGCGAGGCGTCGCCCCATACGAGGACAACAGCTCCGATCAAACACGGAGTGTGTGGAGTTAAAAAACAAACACTCCCATGGCACTTCACCTGGCTTCCAGTGGCACTAAGTGCTCAACAGCTCTGCCTCTCCAAACCAAAAATACATGGTTTTAGCATCGTTGGCAGCGGTAATTGAGTTTGTAAAAGCAAATAAAACAACAGCTGTCCACTGATGAGACCAATATTGTGAGCTGTCATAGGAAGCTTTCTCTCTCTCTCCCTCATTTAAAAAAAACTGTTCGTTTTTTATTATTATTATTATTTTATTCCCTGCCACTCAGGCGTGAAACACAATCACATAAACTAGCTGAGTGCCCACATAGCACAGCTTGTGTTGCCTCACATTAGCAAGGGACAGTTAATCCAGCCCTTCATCACTGGCCAGCATCACAGAATTACAGTCGTACATACTGCTCCAACACTGGCATTCAATTACACGTCAAGGGCAAAGTGCTATTAGATGGAAATATCTACAACCAATCATTCTTACCATCTGCTATTCAGCTTTGATGTTTCTCATATGTGTACGTTTAATGTGCATGATTAGTTGTAAAAAATATATATATATATAAAGCTAATGGGATTGTTATCAGCTGTGTGTGTATGTATGTGTTGCGCGTGCACACCCACCTGAAGGCTTGTCACAGTGAGCCTGCGGGCCTCATCTGACAGTGTAGCAATTGGAACGATGAATGGGCTGTCAGGGATGTGCTCATTGTTGAATTTGATTGACACCTCGTAGTCACCTGGGGAAGCAGACACGTTATTTTACTTTCACAATCAAGTGAACTGCAGGAAGCACCAGGAAAAAAACAACTGAAATGCCAAGCAGCAAATATAGAGGAAAATATGAAAATAAAATCGATATAGCATGCAAAAGAGTAACAATTCCCACATCGATAGGTGTCAACAAAATTCTACCTGGCTCTTTCACTATGTAGGAGACGCCACAAGAGCCATCCTTCCTGTCCTCAAATGAGATTTCAGCCTTGCTGGGACCTTCTACTGCAATGGACAGACCACCAGCTCCTGCCTCTCTGGTCCAAATACTAAATTCGGCTAGACGTGGTAAAAGAAACTGGGTCAGCGGGCTATTTATCTTAAAGTCACATCTCATTAAACAATTCACAATAAAGTACATGGTACTGATGTCTTTATTGGTAAATAAACTCACTAGGTGCTCCAGCCACGCCTCGTTCAAGACCAGGACCTCCTGCACGGACCTTATGTGCTCCGCCTTCACCCATGGGCCCCACAGTGAACTGGAAGGGGCTCCCAGGGACGTGCTGGCCTCGGTACTTGACGTTTACAGTGTGGGGTCCGATCTCCTGCGGGATGAAGCGCACGCTGTACGTGCTGCTCCCGCCATCTACGATGTCGGCGTCCACCGTTTTCCCACCGGGGCTGGTCACCTGCGCTGTCATGGCCTGCGAACCACTCTCAGCTGGGGAGTCAAAGTGACATGGCACCTTAGATACAACGCTGAGGATTTTTTGGGGGGGTGCCTTTAAACTATTAGAAACTCACCCTCAGGTCTGGCTGTGATGCCAGCAAAGCTGCTGAGGCTCTCTCTGCCCAGAAAATCTCCAAAGACGTCTCTGAAAGGGCTCCCCCCTCCTCCCACCTGGGTGCTCTCCTCCACTCGTACCTCCCTCTTGGTCTCCCCGCCGCGGGTCTTGCTGATCTCTGTTCGCTCGGTGCGGGTGTAGGTGTGGCTGCTGCGCGTGAACGTCCTGGTTAGTCTCTCCTGGGCTGAAACCATCTGGAACCAGTTTCCTGCAGCAAAGAAGACGTGAGGAGGTTAACGTGTCCGCTCTAGCTTCTTTGGAAAATGGTGGACACCTGCTCTCTGTGCACGTCCAAAGGGCTGATGGACTCACCTGGGATCTTGAGGTTAAGACCGCATGTGCTGCCCACTGAGGCAATGGAAGAAGCCTGTCTCTTCCTGGTGATACTCTCCTTAATCCTTCCTTCTCCAGTCACCTTCACTGTAAAAGGACTTCCTACAGAGGAAACACAGGGGAAAATGCGAGGAAATTTTTGATTCTATTTCACCAGTCAATAATGAAAAAAAATTTAAGTAAAAAAATCTAACCTGGGATGTGCTTTTCTGCAAACTTTATATTAACAGTATAACTTCCAGGTTCTGTAGGGCAGTAGGTCACCCTGCACGTCCCGTCTTCTACATCTTCACAGTTGATATCGACTTTGCTTGGACCCTCAATTGACAAAGCTAGGCCACCGTAACCTAAAGGGGAGAGCAAAAACATAATCAGAATTGTGTTTTACCCATTCGTGAATGTCTAAACAAATGTAACAAATAGGAGTTTTTACCTGCGTTCCTTGTATCCACAAAAAATTCTGCCATTTCGAAAGTGTGCGCCTCCACCAGGCCCTTCCCGAAAGCCTTCACTCTGCTGGCTTCACCGATCTCAGACTGGCCAACCATGATTTTAAAAGGGCTGTTTGCAACGTGCACGCCATTCTTCCTCACGCTCACTTCATGCTCACCAACCTCCTTCGGAGTGAAAGAGATGCCTGGAATTTTAAAAGAGGGGGAAAAAATAAGTAAACAGAAAACCAGGATTATGGAAACATGAAATAAATACATTATTGATAGGAATGTGTCAATGTTCTATTTATTTTGTTATCTTGTGGCGAGTGATTTTCTCACCGAGGTGTCTGTTGGGGAGTCTCTTGAGCAGGCAGGGCTCTTCGTTGCCGGATGGAGCTCTGATGCTGGCGGTCAGGGAGCTCAGGTCCGTCTCTGCGATCTTCAGGGACACGTCGGCTGCTGTGCCGACGTTGAGCTGAGAGGTTCTGGTTATGGTGTCGTCTCCTAACGTATAAAAATGCAATTGACACGTTTATTCACCACTAAATGCTGTTTACACCTCGTAAATGTATGTTAATAGGAGGTCTGTTTATAACACACGATGTACTTCCTCACCTGTGATCTTGGCAGTGAAGGGGCTGCCAGGAATGTGCTTGTTGTCGAACTTGACAATGATGTTGTAGTCTCCTGGAGCTGTGGGCAGGTAGGACACAGTGCAGGTGCCGTCTTTGTTGTCTTTACAAGTGATCTCTGCTTTTGAGGGCCCCTCGACTGCTAGTGACAGACCACCTGGGAGAACGAAGAGGGGGGGGGGGTCTTTATTTTCAGCTGTTTGACACTGAAAACTATTTGACTCAAAATAAAAAAAGGAAACACAGTAAAGAGAGATGTGTTGACCTTCTCCTGCATTCTTGGTGACCACAGTGAAAGTGGCAGCTTTGTTAACTGTTCCGTAACTCAAACCTGGACCGTAAGCAGTCACCACTCCGCTGTTCACAGCATCCACATAGAACTGCAGAGGGCTTCCTGGAGACAATTATAATCATTGGGAAACATAATTAGAAAAACTGTGGTTTTGACTGGCGCTTGATGGATTTTTAAATATGAAATTAAATCAAAAAGGGAGACAAACAGCTTCCATCATGGTGCGCAGCTGACCTGGAATGTGGTTCCCATCATATTTGATGTCCATCTCATGCAGGCCTCTCTCTGTGGGCTGGTACTTGATTGTGATGGTGCCGTCCTTATTATCGGTGATGTGTGGGCGGGCAGTCTTGCCAGAAGGCATCCGCACCTCACCTGGAATGACAAAATGAATAAATATAAAACCATAAATACCAGTGAACTGAGAACACTGCAAAAATTGTCCATCTAGCCCAGTCTAACACTCGTATATCCAGACTAAAAGTATGTTTTATCTTGTTTTGAGATTGATATGCTGAGTGCAGAATGTGAATGATTATTAATCTGGAATTTTATTTTAATTCAACAAGCCTTACCAAATACAATTGTTTTACTGCACTGACAGATTATTGTACTTTAACTGAAAAGATTCAAACAATAATGTGTGTTCACCTGTGATCTCTCCTTGCTGTGGCGTGAAAGGAACCAGGAAGTTAACAGGACGGAAGAGCGGATCCACAGTATCACGAGGAACCACCTGTTCATTCGTGGCCTGTCATTAACAGGGAAAAAAAGATTGGGAATTATCAGTTTTATATATAAAATTGTCAGAATAAAAACCACATTGCTGCAGCCATTAAATAATTTTTTCCTCACCATCACATTGAAGGGGCTCTTTGGGATGTTCTGACCCCCAAAACGGATGGTAATCACATATTTCCCAGGTTCAGGGGCTGTGTAGTAAATGTCAAATGTCCCGTCGTGGTTCTCCACCACATCCATGTCCAACTCCATCCCCTGTGGAGTGAGCACCTTACAGGTCACCTTGCCTTTCCCGGCTGCCTTGGCATCCACTGTGATGACTGTATCCTCTGAGGTCTGCAGCTTCTGGAGACTTGCTGCTCAAAAGAAAACATGGAAGAGTAGAAGATCAAATACACTTTGTAAATTCATGCACCTAAAAGATGATGGAAATTAAAAGAGAATGTTTGTTACTTACACATGCCATGTCCTCCAATTGAAACTGTGAATTTGAAGGGTATGGTGGTAAATGAAGGGTTATGTTTTTGTTCTCTGTAGAATTTGCAAATAGAGCATAGTTTCCTTACCAGTTAGGAGACATTTGCTGGCATCTCCCGTGGGCAGAGACTGGATGTGATATGGAGAGTAGGGAATTTCATCTCCTCCATATTTAATTGTGATTGTATAAGGGCCTGTAGAGTCAGGTACGTAGGACACGGTGTATGTCCCATCTCTGTTGTCCTGGATGGTTGCGTTCTTTGGCTTGCCTTCTGGATCCTGTAAAAAATATAATAAGCTTGATAAAAAAGGTGGTGGCTTACAGCAACAATGATTACCACAGTTTATGTGTGGCAGCTGCACCCACCAGAATCTGCACAGTGAGCAGCCCCTCTCCAGCATCACGAGCATCGATGGTAAACTCTACAGGCAGGCTGGCAGAAACACCTTTAGTGTCTAGACCAGGGCCACTGGCGCGAACCTTACTGGCATCATGCCCAGGCTGAGACATCACCTTGAATGGACTGTTGAAAGAGGATGCAGAGGGGAATTACAAACTAATTGTGAAAGAGAAAGAAAAGCAAGGATGTAGCAGTGATTCTATCACACTTGTTCTTTCTTAAAACCAGAGTTTTAATGGTGACAACTCTTGAGTATTTGACCTAGTTGAGTGTTTTTGTTACTCGTTAAGCTCATCCAGCAGTACCTGTGTGGAACTTCCTGATCTGCATATTTGACTGCTACAGTGTAGGGACCATCCTGAGCTGGGGTGTAGTGAACTGTGTGGGTGCCATCGCCGTTGTTTTTCACACCAACAGGCTCCACGCTACCTGTAAATAGTAATGTATCACATGCTCATTACTTTCTGTGTGAAAGTTGCACTGATTTTCCTCATCCTGATCCTCATTACCTGTAGGTCCGTAGAGTTTGACATCCAGCGGGGCCTGTCCAGCCTGGGTGCAGTCTGCAGTGAAAGTCTGAGGAACGTGGGCTCTCACACCAGTACCCAGACCTGGACCGGAGCATTTCACCTTGCTGGGATCTACTGGGTCCTTTACAGGCACGCGGAATGGACTCCCAGGGATAGGCTGCCCTCCGTAGGTAATATTTACATCATAGTCACCGGGAGTGAAGGGGACGTATTCCACACTGCAGCTGCCATCTTTGTTGTCCTTGCAGGATATTTTTGCCTCTGAGGCTCCCTCGATGGTCAAACCCAGGCCTCCTGTACCAGCACCCCTGAGAGCAAAATGTCACAGATTTGAATGAAACACTCAAAGTTATCATTGGATGTACAACTGACAATCATTTACAACACCAACTATGAGCACAAATAAATTGTGCTTACAATCTTGCACAACGTTTTCGTCAGTGTTTGACCAACATGGCTGTAGCTCTCATTTCTCAACACACATCTCTCATATGAAAAGTAGATTGTGATATTCATTCCTTCAAGGACTTTGATGCCTTAAATTATTTAGTGGTTCTTTCCTTAAATCAACATTGTTAAACCCAACTGTGGGTGCATGTTTTATTCAAGCCTTATTTTTCCCCTTTCTGACTCTCAGTACCTGGTTTCCACGGTGAAACAGTTTGACTTGTTGGTTACTCCTCCCTCCAATCCTGGCCCAAAGGCACGCACCCGAGTTGGATCACATCCTTCGACCACAAACACTCTGAAGGGGCTCTTCGGCACGGGCGCTCCATCGTACACGACTTCGATCATATGCATTCCTGCACACAAGCAGAGACAGCTTGTTTGATGTCATGCGTTTTGTTTGTGTCCTCAAATATGTTTCTGCTTTTGCCTATTTGCTTTTAATTATTGGCCAGTCTCATTCCCTTTTAGGGAGACAAACATCTGTTTATTTATAAAAGATGCTATCTGGAGTACAGACGCTCCAGTGAACATACAAGACGTTACATCTGTTCCTTATTCATTATACTGTTACAACATTTTTCTGACAGAGCACTCTCAGTAGGCTTACACACCATATTCCCAGCCACACTACTCTGATATTAGAGGATGTCTGTTGGTGGTGGAGAAGTGCTCTGTGATCTCTTTGCTTTGTGTTGTAGGTCTCTAATAATATCCCCTGTCATTCCTTTGCTGTACTGCCGTGTGCAGGCAGACTTCAGCACACATACCTGCCTGGTTATAAGCTTCTGTTCCAGAGCGCACTATTTATAAAGCAGAGCCTCACTGCCTGCCTGCTCTCTGCCCCTCGTATCATTGCTCCACTGCATCATTCTGTATTTATACCCTTATCTCACTTGCTCTTTCTTTTTCCCCCTCTTCTGCTTTATTCCCAAATGGCACCGGAGACGAGCACCTGCTAGTGATTTTCCTGTCTGCTTCTATGCAGACTGTGTAAAGTTCGTTATTTAATCAGCATCAACTTGTGCAAATGTTAATTATTGATTCACATTTTTTCCTCTCTCTCTCCCTGCTCTTACCATCCTCGAAGGCTGTGTACTCCACCCTGTAAGTGCCGTCGCCTTTGTCGGTAATGTAGGAGTCCGTGTTGGCGCCGGAGGGGTTGATGATGTGGACCTTTACATGACTGCCTCCAACCTTGTTGAGGGCACGCGCATCAACAATGAAGTGGGTTGTGACTTCCCTGAGGACTCCTTGAAACACAAAAGCACTTCAGGTGATTTGTTGCCCGGGACTCGCATCAAACGAGCTCAATAACACAGAGCGATCAAACATCCTTCCTCTTCTCTGATTTATACACACTACAAAAGTAATTCCAGTGGCGTTATTTGCACAAAAATAGATATTTCACCAGAATTTAGAGCTAACATGAAGTGCAAATGCATTCTGGGCTTTATTCTCTTTATTGTTACCTCTGGGCTCCACTCCAGGCCCGTAGACATGAACTCCACTGGTGTCCACTGAGGGTTCCACCTGTAAGACTTTTGGAAAGTACGGGATCATGTGGCCGTCGTATTTGATGGTGATGGTGTGAGAGCCTTGAAAGGATGGGATGTAGGTGACAGAAAAGCTCCCCTCTGAAGTTTTCTGGATGTGCACCTCAGCTTTGACCCCGGTCTCTGACACAATTTCGATGGTAAGCTCAGCGTTGCCCGCTCTGGTGCAGTCCACGGTGAAGGTTGCCGGTTCGCCTGCCTTGGCCCTCTCCAGGCCTGGCCCGGTAGCCGTTACCTTGCTGGGATCGAGAGCTGGGCGAACCGCAGCTTTGAACGGGGAGCCAGGGATGTGCTGCTCCGCAAATAGAATGTTGACGGCGTACTCTCCGGGTTCAGTGGGAAGGTAGGACACTGAGCATGTGCCATCGCCGTTGTCTTGGCACTCAATTTTTGCCTCACAGGGACCCTCCACTGTCAGACCAAGCCCACCTGCACCTGCTCCTTTTGTGTCGATGGTGAACGGAGCTGGTTTACCCACTATGCCGCCCTTCAGGCCTGGGCCAAAGGCTTTTACTTTCGAAGGATCAGCTGGCATGACTGCTTCAACCCCAAATGGGCTTCCCATCACAGGGTTCCCATCATAGCTGACATCCACTTTGTACTGTCCCTCCTCCGGGGGGATGTACTTCACACCATGAGTGCTTTTGGCTTTATCCGACTCCATCTTGCATGGGATTGGTCGGCCAGAAGGAGACGTCATCTTCACACCTACATTGCCCTGCCCACCTGCGCCCTTTGTGTTTACTGTGAATTCTTGATCCTTTCCAACCTCCACCTCTGCAAGTAAGATGACAGTGAAATATTTACTTTTGACTATTCACACACACTGTGTGCAAAAATACATGAAATGATGTCAGTGTTACTCACTGGTATCCAGTCCATTCACTTTCACCTTTCCAATATCCAGAGCTGGTGACACTGTGATGTGGAAGGGGCTTTTGGGGATAGGATCTCCACCATGTGTCACAGAAATGGCCATATTGCCCTAAAAGGGAAAAAATATTAGAAAAAAATGAAGCCTTACTGATTTGGGTGCGTAATTATGAATAATAGTACTCATCCAACAAATGCTACCTGTTGAAGAGCTGTGTACTTGACAGTGTAGGAGTAATCGTGATTATCGATGATCTCAAAGTCACAAACAGCCTCTCCGGGGCCTGATGCTGCAAAACGCACCTCAGGCTTTGCCTTTCCAGCTCCCTTTGTGTAAATGGTGAAATGGGTTGGAGTGCCCACCTCCACGCCTGAAACACACGTACAGTGTCAGTGTTAGTCAGCTTTAAATGCACTTTTATAATGATTATAGCATCAAAACTCTCACCTGTTTTGTTGAGTCCAGGACCCTCTGCTCTCACCTTACCAGCATCATGGGAAGGATCCACCTTGACTTTGAAAGGACTGATAGGAATTTCCTGAAAAAGACATTTTGAAATACTCAGAATAACAGCACATGGGTGAAAAATAATAAAGAGTGTGCCTCGTCATCTGGAAAATCTATTTTTACCTGGTCAGCAAACAGCACCATGATGGTGTATCGTCCCGGACCGGGTGGAGTGTACTTGACAGTGAAGGTGTCATTGTCATTCTTGATGATGTCAAAGTCGATGTCAGCCTCAGCCGGTCCGACCACCCCCGGGGCACACTTGATTCCAATGCTGATGTCTCCTAATGGTGCATAACAATAAGCCCAGTTCAAAGAGGTCATTCAACAGCAGAGGATCTGAATAAATTGACGCTGTCACTCCATTGCCCAGAGCTTTATTTCAACTACAATTATGCATTTTAAAAATAAGTGCAGCTCAGACTCACAGATTCGCCTGTTCAGCTCCCTCTGTGTTTTAACATTCTCTGAATGTCGGCACCATTATTTGGCCAACTGAACTCTGGAGTGTTTTTGTAACCACTCACACCATCTAACTCGCGCAGGCTCACCTTGACCCGCCTCGCTGCAGTCCACAGTGAAGTATGTCGGCTCGTTAGCTTTGAGCCCCGTCTTCTCTACTCCGGGCCCATGGACCTTGACTTTATCAGGATGAGAGCCCTCTCCAACCAGCACCTAATGAATTCACAGTGCACTTGAAGCCGAAGCAACTAACTGCAGTGTAACTCCTCTTACTTTGCCTATATTTCGTAAAGCATCATCAAACAAGATTGAGGTTATTTTTCACGTGTGTCTGCACGTAGGTGTGTCTTACCCTGAAGGGGCTGTTGGGCACGTTGACCTCACCCCAGGTGATGATGATGGTGTGTTTAATGGGTTTGACAGGAGTGTACACACAGAGAAATGTGCCGTCCCCTTTGTCAGTGATCTTGATGTTGATGGTGCAACCTTCAGCATCCTGGGTGGAAACAAAACCATGTTTGGCTCTGGGCAGCCTCATGCAATATAAATGATGTATTCCTATGAACACTCCATAAACTTGTAGACTCCATACCTGTGCGTAAATCTTGAGTTGACCCTTCCCGGCCATGCGAGCATCGATGGTGAACTCAGTTGGTTTGTTTACAATCACACCAGTCGGCTTCAAGCCCGGCCCATAGGCTTTAACCTGTGAATATTCTCTTTAGTCACTCACAGTAACAAATGTTTTCTTATGTCTTTTCTTGATAAGAATCACAAGAAATTACTTTCTCAGGGAAGACATCATTGGCGGCAGGTAGAATGTGGGCCATAAAAGGACTGTCCTTGATGTCTTCATCATCGCAAATGACGTGGACAGCATAGTCCCCTGGCTCGGTGGGCCAGTATCTCACATCACAGGAGCCGTCACCCTTATCATCACACTCAATTTTAGCCTGCGATGGGCCTTCAATGGAGAAGCCTGAGTAAAAAGCAACATTTTCACATTTAATTCCAGATTTAGAGATAAGCTTTTTTTTAATAGGAGCTTCGATCACTCATAAAAATCTTACCCAGAGTTCCAACTTCAGTGCCAATGGCCTCAACCACAAAATCAGCCGATTTTCCCACCATGCCAGTCTTTAGACCAGGACCCCAGGCCCGTACTTTCTGAACACCTGCTTCCTTACCCACCTCCACTTCAAAGGGACTGTGGCAAACATTAATGCACAGGAAAACACCAACATTAACTGGTATGAATGTGACTGTGGGATGCTGAGAAAGAGTTAAAGAAAGCATTCAAATTTTTCAAAATTGGACTCTGTGAACTGTGACAACATGACCATTAAACTCCAAGTAAATGTGCATCTTTTTATAGCAGTTGCATAAGTATATCAAATCAAATCAGAATTCAAATTAAAACAAAAATTTTGTGTTTTGAGTTTTAAAACGACAGGAATCCACTTTAGTTTTAGTCCCACTCAGATTACCTGCTAGCTTTCCAATTCAGTCAAAACAAAATGAAGCTAAATACAACAGGTAAGATGTCTGTTGTTCAAAACCTCTCTGCACAAACCCACTTCAAAAGACCTGAATTACCACTTTAAGGAACCTTACCTGCGTGGGATAGGCTGGCCTCCCCAGGTGATGCTCACTGTGTATTTACCAGGCTTAAGAGGGTAATATTCACACTCAAACACTCCGTTCCCTGTATCTCTCACTTTCACTTGCTCCTCTGCTCCAGCTGAGGAGGAATAACAATGTCAGCAGGGATTCTTATCAACTCGTTTTGTCCTTTGATTTTGTATGTACATGTAAATAATACATGGGAAGAGCAATGTAGAGACAAAAAAGTTGTCTGACTCACTTGGTCCTTTAACTGAGACATTTAGTGGACCGTTTCCAGCTCCTTTGGTGAAAACTTTGAAGTCTGCAACTTCCTTTACTCTCACACCTTTAGGCTGAAGCCCTCTGCCAGTGGCTCTGCAAGCATTTGGGTTTGAGGCTAAAAGAAGGGGGGGAAGTGTGAAAGAGAAAATTATGTCAATGATAGAAAAAAACGATTAATCTGGCCAGCAGCTGATAGCAAAGTTAGTTGCAAATTCCACTTCACAGAGGATTCCTGTAAACCTGGAAATAAAAAGATGTTTTTTTGTTTTGTTTGGGTTTTTTTTTTGAGGAGCATACTGCAAGTGAACGATGCCGAATGATACAATAATCATTCCAGTGCATTGAAGAACAGGAAATGTTGAGGGCACGCTTAAAACTGGCTGCTGGCTGATGCAAATTTAGACTTGAAGGAAAACAAACATGTCAAGAGCACAAGCAAAGATATTTAACAGAAAAGAACAAAGAAACTGACAGGAAGGCAAACTGAGTCAATCAATGAACTATTTGCACAACATTGCATCTCTCTCTCTCTCTCTCTCTCTCTCTCTCTCTCTCTCTCTCTCTCTCTCTCTCTCTCTC